CAGAAACAGAAACTATGAAGTTTGTAGAGCTACAATCAGCTACAACTTACAGCGCCACTAGAATGAGATAGCATGATTTTTTCTCTCTCGCACAATTTCGACGAATAATGGCGGACTTCACGTGTCCAGACTCTTATTAGAGGGTCACTAGGTGACAGTGGCACTCAGTCAGCCATTTTTAATACCACTGAATGAATGTCATGATTGGCTGACAGTCAGCTAATCAGGACGCGGAACATCGGTTGCGCTTCTCTGATATCTAGGGCTATATTCAGATTCCCACCCGAGTGCCACTCAGGTATCCTTCTATCTTTATTGTTTGCCAAATGTTAAACAAGGATGACATGACACCCAGGGAGCACTCGGGTGGGAATCTGAACACGCCGTAGCATGGTGGAAATATTCCACCATGATATCTAGGACTTTACTTTCACCATACTTCAGTTTTCAGTGGCCATAGCTGCGTTTTCGTTAAACAGCAAATCTGAGGCGTCGGAGTGCTCTTATATTATAGCATATGTCACGTGCACTATAGAAAAAGAGCACTCCGAACGCAGCTATTTCATTATTTTTTCCAGAGTCGGTCGGGTGACGAGTGTTCGCTTCCAGTCGTGAATGTTGAGGGTAGTCTTTTATCCTCTGGTTTAATCATACTAATTGTACTTTAGACGGTTCTTTTCTTTCATCGTTTCGCTAATAAGCGTATTACAAGAAAAATGGTAAGTTTATGATATTATATATTATTGATTTTGTGATAACGAAAAATGTAGTTGATATCGTGTATGTCTTAGCAAAATTTATCTTTAGTTTCACCTTTATTTGACCTTCACGTAAAATCGTAATCCTGTGTCGTATGTGTATGTTAACTTGCTTGTCAATGATTTTCACGTATTAAATACATATTAAATTTGCTAATTTAAATTTAATCAGTTTTTTTTTTTACACACATACACCTGCGCGCGCGTGTGCGTGCGGTGTGTTAAAAAAAAATCGGATTACATTGGAAGGACACACACGGACATACACATATTTACACGCGCTTGCACAAATGATTGTTTTAATAAGACAATTTTTATATATTACAATATTAAAATTTGTTAAAAACTTGTATATTAAACTTAATATGTTTTACTATTCTTGAAAAATAATAGTATATATTAATTGTAAAATATAGATATACGGGTGATTAGCTTATTACAATAATTGTACATAATGCAATTTTAATTACGAAAAAACTATTATATTATTATTAAAACGTAATATATAAAAATAAGAATTTTTTTTAATTTTTTGTATTAGACGGAACCAATAAATGTCGTGGTTACTGGTGCTGCTGGTCAAATTGCATATTCGTTGCTGTATCAGATTGCAGCTGGTACAGTTTTTGGTTTACAACAACCTATTAATCTCAGATTATTAGATATTCCACCTATGATGAAGGTATTGGACGGTGTGGTTATGGAATTAGAAGATTTAGCACTTCCTCTCTTACGAGGTAAGTGTTAAGAACTCATTTAAAAATTAGTCTCGTATGAAGAATATTAAACATGTTCATATATGTGCACAGATATCTAATTACGAATATTTAATAATGCATGCGCGCGTGTGTACATACGTGTGTACGTGCGCACAAGAGAGATGTCCATTATTATATGTATTATACATATAGTAATAGTAAAGACAAATTATACGTACAAGAAACTTAATATCAAATTCTGATATTGTATCAGAATTTTAAGGTTTATTTGTGTAAAAGAATATTTTTAAAAATAATACAGAAATGTCTTGTTAAATCTTATGAGATAAATTAATAACAAAAAAAAACATTGATGTTATTATTATATACTTCTAATGATGATCTTTTGGTTCCATTAATAATTTTAATTTGTTATTAGATACACATTATACAGAATATATTAAAAATATGTGAATACAATACAATTAATTAAAAAAATACAAATAATACTGAAATAACTACTCATAATCAACCAGAAATAAACATAGAATATTGCCGAATTAACATCTTTAGCAATTCTAGTAGAATACTATTGGCAATTCCAGTATTAAGAAAGTACATGTTCCTTGACAAATTTATGTTTATATAGTATAGAATATGCATATAACATTATATTGCTATATTTATGTTTATATTCTAATTTTTATATTTATTAACAATTTGTATAGTTGTAAATAGCTTAATTTAAATTTTTAGAGATTTTGCCAACGGCTGAACCAGCCAAGGCCTTCAATAACGTAGCAGCTGCTTTTCTGGTTGGTGCAATGCCAAGAAAAGAAGGAATGGAACGTAAAGATCTTTTGGCTGCAAATATAGAAATTTTCAAGGTGCAAGGGGAAGCAATGGATAAATATGCACGTAAAGATGTCAAGGTGTTAGTTGTAGGTAATCCTGCCAATACTAATGCGCTTATTTGTTCACATTATGCACCATCTATTCCAAAAGAAAATTTTACGGCGATGACTAGATTGGACCAAAATAGAGCACAGGCAGCATTAGCCGCACGATTAAATGTACAGGTAATATATATTATCACGCTTAGAACATTTTTTTGACAAAATATGAAATTTGATTTATCATTGAGAGAGAGTTGATATTTCTTTCATTTAAAATGTTTTTTTGTATTAGCAATAAGACTATACTTATATTGTTGCAACATATATATGTACTGTTTTGATAAATTCCTATAAATTCTATAATCTTGTTAATACAGGTGGATAAAGTGAAGAATGTCATTATCTGGGGTAATCACAGTTCCACGCAATATCCAGATGCAGCGCATGCAACTGTAACGCTTTTATCTGGCGCAAAAACAGTATTATCTGAGATAAACGATGATGAGTGGTTGAATAACACTTTTGTAGAGACAATTCAAAAACGCGGCGCTGCCGTAATAGCGGCTAGAAAAATGTCTTCTGCTATGTCTGCTGCTAAAGCCGCCGGAGATCATATGAAAGATTGGTGGTTTGGCACTAAACCTGGAGAATGGGTTAGCATGGGTGTTGTATCTGATGGAAGTTATGGAATTCCAAAAGATATTGTATTTTCCTTTCCTGTCATTATCAAGAACAAGCAATATGAGATAGTGCAAGTAAGTTATCATGTAAAAAAATATATCTCAAAGTAATTCGAACTTAAGTCGATGTATGATACAAATATCGACTTTTTTTTCATAATTTTGAAATATTCCATATTTGACATACTTCTGTATCTTAATGCAGCGATTTAATTTGCACTTACACAATTAGCGATGTTTTTTTAACAATTATTCAAAATTAAATTGATTATTCAAAAATCAAAATTATTATAAGTAAATGCAGCATTTCACCATATTTAGACAAATTTTATAAAAAAAAAACAGAAAAATATTCATCTTATAATGATCTATTTTCAGAATCTCCCAGTTAACAACTTCGCAAGGTCAAAGCTGGATATTACATCTAAGGAATTAGAAGAAGAACGTGCTGAGGCAAATAATGTACTGAAAAAGTGACTAGTAACACCAGTGTTAAACAGTGAGATGCAAAAGAAATTTCTGTTATCAAAATTGTAAAATATATAATTCTTCTATATAATAAATCATACGTACGTATATATATGCATACATACATGCATAAATATATATGTACGTACATACATA